CTCAAACTCCTAAGCTCGAGCAATCTTCTCACCTTGGCCTCCCAGAGTGTTAGGATTACAGGCGTTAGCCACTGCACCTGGCCTGAACAAGTTTTTGAACAATAATTTTTGCACAATTAATACCTTTGCGTTTTACACTAGGTCCCACAAATAATGTAGCTGGTCCTGACACCAGGCAAAAGTGTTTCTTCTCTCCAAGACCACATTCCTGCCAAGGCTGTTTTATCTATTTAAAAGCCTTGAAATCTGTCAAGCAGTTTCAAAACATAAGCTATTATTCATCAGTTATTTTATATTCCAGTGAACAAAAAAACTGGAAGTTCCTTGAGGGCTAGGTCTCTCTCCCACAGTAATTATTTTGTGATTCCCTCTGCATCTTTAGCTCTTTTGAGAACACAGTAAGTAAACAATAAATATTCTTCAAGAGAATTAAATTCCATTAATATCTGAACTTTGTCAAGGGTAAGTGTTGGTTCTCTTTTGGCTTAATTTTCTTCCATGGAAGGGCAAAATTTTTTATAATCAAGGCTTTCCTCTGGTCTTTATGCATTTGTAAATTTTGAAACAAGTTATTAGATCTGAGTTAAAGAAGACACAATAATTGACCTGTTCTGTTCTAAGGAAATCCTTTGTCCAGTAGCCAGAGATTGAAACATTGATGGCTTTGAAGAGTACTCTGAGTTTACTGCACTTATTAAAATAGATGCTTTGTCTCCTTTCTCTCAATTTCTTGCAGCCTAGTCATTGCTGGATAAGTGAGATGGTAGTACAATTGTCAGACAGTTTGACTGATCTTCTGGACAAGTTTTCAAATATTTCTGAAGGCTTGAGTAATTATTCTATCATAGACAAACTTGTGAATATAGTGGATGATCTTGTGGAGTGCGTGAAGGAAAACTCATCTAAGGTAACTGTGTTCATTGGGATTGTTTTTTATTACTCCTTTCTAAAACCTATGCACACTGGTGGTATTGGGGATATGGGGCATCTTTATTTGTGAGATTTTGAATTGATAAACTTTGAATTTAAAAATCTTTGTAAGATGAGCACAGAAAACAAGTATTTGTAGTTATACAGTAATACTGAAACGTACAAACTTAAATATTGTCACTTAATATAACAATAAAATTTCTTTATACTACAATATAAAATGGCCCTGTCTTCATCTTTGTTTTTATTTCATAAGAGAATGAGATCCTTAAAAACCCTCCTATTAAGATGTTCATTTAAATGAAAAACTGTATGATGAATGCTTATTCTTGCCCTCTTATCGGTAATCTAATCAACCCATGGGTCATAATAAAGAAGTGCATTTTTGTCTCCTGAAGGTCATTGGATAATTGGTCATAACCAACTTTAAGGATATGGGCATGACAGTACTTTGGCTTCTAAGCATATGGAATAGTCAGTGTACCCCAGAAATTAAGAATGAGATGTTGGGGTTCAGATTCTGGCTCTGTCACCAAAATTAGTTTTATGAACCTAACTTCTTTGTGCCTCACTTTCTTTATGCCTAAAATGGGGGCAATGGCAGAATCCACTCATAGTGTTGACATTAGATGATTTGTGATGAGTACTTTAGCATGGTACCTATCAAAATAAAAGTTAATCAATTTTGACATTATTGTTGTTTATAGCGCTGTGTCTATAATACAATAGAGCTTGGGGAACTTTGGTATAGAGCCTACTGGACTTCTATTAAGTTTAATCCCTAAGTTTGACATAAGATTCTACACCTTAATACCTAAATATTTTTTTCCTCTGTTCCATCCAAATTCCATCTACTCTTTAAGGCCCAATGTCAATCCCATTTGTGCTGTCCAGTCTTGGAATTCTTACCATACTAATAACTTAGTCACTATATTTTATCATTTTTATTTTATTTTATTTTATTTTTTTGAGACAGAGTCTCACTGTGTTGCCCGGGCTAGAGTGCCGTGGCGTCATCGTAGCTCACAGCAACCTCAAACTCCTAAGCTCGAGCAATCTTCTCACCTTGGCCTCCCAGAGTGTTAGGATTACAGGCGTTAGCCACTGCACCTGGCCCATTTTTATTTTTTTACTTTCCAATTTCTGAAGTCAGAATGTATCTTACAATTAATGATATCTTAACATCTCTTTCATATTACTGCTGCAGATAGTGTGCTGATGGCATTCATAGGATATAGAAGTCACAAAAAATAGGGCATATCACACAAGGTGTCACAAAGGAGATAACATATGCATTGGGGCCTTAAAAATGAGTTAGGTGTTCAGTAAATAGCAATGTTGGGAAGAGCATTGCAAATAACGAAGAATGTGCATTTACTAATCATGTGACTTTGGCGGTAACCTAGGAGAATTGCAGATGGTACTTCCCAGTTGCTTTGTAGTGCTTTATATAAGCACTTAGAATACTACACAGTAAGTGATGTATACGTGTTTATTATTATGTGCTTTCCTTTATAATCATCCATTTATGTATCCTGACAGTATAGCTTTGATTTGCTCCTTTGAATTGTATATAAGTTAATCATACTATTTTTATTATTTTGTGACTTGCTTTTTCACTCAGCATTAGGTTTATAAGATGTACTTGGGTGCATATAGCTGTATCCGCCTGGAGGCATGTAGCTGTAGTTAATTCTTTACTGCTTATAGAGTAGTGCATCAATTCAATATACCACTATTTATTAACTTGTTCTTCCGTTGATTGACATAAGGGTTACAGACATTGCTGCTAAGAACTCTCTTGTATGTCTTATGGTGCATAGGTGCAAGAGTTTCACTGGGGTATTTACCTGGGGGTGGATTTCGAGGTCACAGGATGGGCACATGTCCAACCTTACTAGATAATATCAAGTGTGTCCATTTACGTTATACCAGCAGTATATGAGTTCCCTTCACTCTATGTCCTTGCCAACATTTAGTTATCATCAGACGTTTTAATTTGGGGATATTGGAGCATGCACTATGGAGCAGTCTTGTTAAAATCAACATGAATATTTTTAATGAGCATCTCTAAAGAAAAATGTCCCCAGTTTGTTGTCAGGATCATTTCATTGTTATGACATCGTATTCGTTGCACCTTCCCTCCCCTCATTGCTCTGGTCACTAGTTGAGACTCAGACTCAACTTACGATCCTGATAGGATCACTATTCTACACCACCGATTTGAATTATGTACATTAAAACAGCTGTCTAAAAGTGTTTGTTATAAGAGCTCAAATAGTTGAATCTTTGGAGGACATAGTTATAGTCCATTATCTTGTCCTTGATTTTCTATAGACTGTTTGAAAAATATAATTCTGTTTTTTTCTTCTAGAATGTAAAAAAATCATCTAAGAGCCCAGAACCTAGGCGCTTTACTCCTGAAGAATTCTTTCAAATCTTTAATAGATCCATTGATGCCTTCAAGGACTTTATGGTGGCATCTGAAACTAGTGATTGCATTATTTCTTCAACGTTAAGTCCTGAGAAAGGTAAGACATACAAGCATTTCCAGTTCAAATATAAACAGCAAGCTTGAATCTTACCTGCGTAGATAAGAATCTACCTCCAAAACAAATATATGTGTAGCTATAGAAAGATACATGTGTGTATGTCTAAAAAAAAAAAGAAAATATCAATGGCACAAAAGAAACTAATGATTGTAGGTTTGTTGATTTCCAAGCAGAAACAATGTTCATTATTATTTTCAAATTAAGGGACTGTGTGTGAGTAAACAATATCTGAGAAAATCACTCCTATTTTTTCTCATCTAATATTTGCTAGTAATGTAAAATTATATTATTCTTCACCTCCAGTCTTCTTAATGTTCCTTTCTCAAATCTTTTTCCTAAGGATCTAACTCTAAGTCATAAATTCTGATCCTCAATACGGTGACTCTGCATTGAGACTCTTTCCCCACCACTGTATCCCTACAGCACAAAACCTTAATTTCATGACTTTCTTTTTGTTTTTAAATGACAATTTATCATTATTCATATTTATTAGAACATGTATGCAATAAATCTTTTTTCTACAAGGTGACTGTGGTGAATTTCTTAATAAAATAGAATAACAGAACCTAGCATGAAATATATAGGATCTGAATAATCTCAATTTGGGAAGCAGACCTGGCAAGTACTCTGGTATTGCACTTCACCTTTTGGGGACTCTGTGATTCCTATAAATCACCATATAACACTGACACATTATTGCTTTCTATTTAGATTCCAGAGTCAGTGTCACAAAACCATTTATGTTACCCCCTGTTGCAGCCAGCTCCCTTAGGAATGACAGCAGTAGCAGTAATAGTAAGTACACATATGTGATTTAATGCATGCATGGCTCCAGTTAGCATCTATAGGAGTATTGCATGGGCTTTCAAGGAAATTTCTAATTATTACTATTAATACTGTTCTGTTACTGTTTTACTTCTTACGGTCTTCCTGAGATTTAAGATTATAGAATTGAGTTTCCCTAGAGCTTGAGATAATGTTTAGAGAATTGAGCCAATAAATTTTCTGCTAAGGTTATTTTAAATAAGGCATGAAACTAATTTTAGAAATATTATTTACAATATTTTCATTGTAGACATATATTTTGTGTGGAATGTGCCTAACAGGAATGGAATTTTAAAATTGAATGTACAAAGGCTAGTTGTGTAGAATTCCAAGGATACTTTCAGTTTTGTGTGAATCAATATTTACTATAGCTTGTTTGGAAATTTGATGATATTGTTATTTTACTATAAAATTGTATGTTGGAGTAGAGGAGACTATGCTTATTTTCCTGAAATTTCTGCCCTTTTTGGCCAAGAGCAGGGACCCCTGGAAGATTGTCCTCTTTTGAAATCCAGACAAAGGTCATTATAAAGGTTTTGGATTTAGTGAATACCCTCTAGCCTCATGCAAGGTACAGGAAGAAAATGATCATCTTGTGATCTTAGCTAAAAAAGTCATCCCTTAAGATTTATAAATAGGGCACTGTCATTTGTTCAGGAACATAGAAGACCTATCTATAAAAAGGAGTAAGCAATTTTTTATAAATTCACAATAGCCTGTATACAATTTAGAATTTTTAAAAAAATCTCTAAAATACAATTTGTTTCAGAATTTTTGCTACCAAAACCTGAACTGAACTGAGATGCGGCATAGTCTTTATTGATAATACATCAGATCTGAAAAGTTTCAGAAAGGGACTAGGGTCTTACATGTTTGTTAGTCAATTAAGGTCTCTCTTACTAACTATGGCTTTTATTAATATTTTCAAAGAAGCAACTTTTGACTTCTTAAATTCTGTTTATATTTCATTGATTTATAATCTTTATTATTTCTTTCCTTCTACTTACTTTGGATTTAATTTACACAACTTGTTCTAGCCTTTTAAGGTGGAAAAATTAGATCATTTATTTTAAACCATTTTTTCTAACTATAAGCACTTATAGGTATAAATTTCCTTGTAAGCACTGCTTTAGCTGCATCCCACACATTTTTATGTGTTGTGGTTTCGTTATTTTTTTGTGTGTGATTTCATCTTTGATTTATGAGTAATATAAAAAGTAGGTTGTTATCTAATATTTTGGAGTTTTCCTAGATATCTTATAGTTATTGGTTTCTAATGAAATTTTGTTATTGTCATAAAACATACTATATCTCTTTTAAAATGTATTGAGACTTACTTTATGTGTTTTATTCAACTATTAGGTGTAGCATTTCAAATTTGGCCAAAGTAGTTGGCAGTGTTGTTCATATCTTCCATTCCTTATTAAATATTTTGTCTAATTTTTTATCAGTTACTGAAAAGGGGAATTAAAAATCTTTCTTTTTGATTGTGGATTTTTCTGATTCTCATTTTGGATCTGAGTTTTTTGCTTCATATGTTTTGAAGCTCTATTATCACATGATTATACATTTATTACTGTTATGTCTTCTCTGATTAATCAGCCTTTTAATCTTACTGAAATATCCCTCATTACCTCATTACCTCTGGTAGTGTTCTTTGTCTTGAAGTGTATACTTTGTCAATCTTTCTTATGCTTACTGTTTTCATGGTATATCTTTTGCTTTCCTTTATTTTCAACCTATTGTCTTTATTTTTAAAGTATGTCTCTGGTAGACAGCATATAGTTGGGCCTTGCTATTTTACCTAACCTATCTCTGATTTTTCATTAGAGTGTTTCATTCATTTATATTTAATAAATTATTGGTATAGTTGGATTTGGGACTATCATTTTGTTATTTGTTTTTTATTTGTTCCATTTGTTTTTTGATTTCCTTCTTTCTAGCCCTTTTTAGGGTTAAATAATGTTTATGGGGTTTTCTTAGTGTTCCATTTTAATTACTGTTGACTTTTTAACAATACCTTTGTATATTATTTTGTGGTTATATTAGGAATTAAAGCATACATGTTAAATTGTAATATTCTATCTAGAGTTAATATTGTAGCACTTTAGAAAAAAATGTAAGAAGCTTGAAACAGGATGGTTTTACCAATCCATACCCATCTTTTGTATTGTTGTTAACATGTATGTCTACGTAGGTTATAAGCCCCACGATACAGTCTTTGTCTTTTATATGTATCCACACATTTATTATTTCCTGTTCCCTTCGTTCCCTCTTGTAAATCCAAGTTTTCATCTGGTGTTAATTCCTTTCAGGATGAAAAACTCTTTAGTGTTTCTTGTAGTACAGAACTATTGGCAACAAATCCTTTTTCTTTTAATTGGAAAATGTCTTTATTTTGTCTTACATGTAGCAGGTACTTTCTACTGAATATTGAATTATGGGTTAACAGAATTTCTTTTTTCCTTCAGTCCTTTAAAAAATGTCCCTCCATTGTCTTCCTATAGCTATTGTTTTTGAAAAAAGGAAAAAGTAGCCATCATTTGTATTATGTTTTCCCTGAATGTATAAATAGTAGCTCATTTTTTCTTCTGCATTCTTTCAAAATTTTCTCCTTTTTAGCAGTATGACTAGAATATGCCTATGAATGGTTTTCTTTGTATTTATCTTTCTTGGAATTTGTCAAGCTTCTTGGATCTGTAAGTTTGTTTTCCCCCAAATTTGGCCCTAATTTTTTCAAATTTTTTTTTTGCATTTTGTCTCTCCTCTCCTGATTTACTAATCACATATATTTTAGGCAGTCTGATATTGTGTCATAGGTCACAGAAGTTTTGTTCGTTTTTTTAACCTCTTTTCTCTCTGTTCTTCTGAATAATTTCTGCTTGTCTGTTTTCAAGTTCACTGATGTTTTCTTCTACCATCTCTAATCTGCTGAATCTTTTCATTCAGTAAATTTTCTCATTTCGAAATTTATATTTTGTGCTCTAAGATTTTTCATTGATTATTCTTTATATTTTATATTTCTCTGATGAGACTTTCCATCTGCATATTCATTATGATAATATTTTTTCTTTTGTTCTTTAAATATAATTGTAATAGTTGCTCTAAAGTTCTTGTCTCCTAATTTCAACATGTAAGTCATCTCAGGGTTGTTTTCTATTAACTTTTTTTTCTTCCTTGATTATGGGTCACATTTTCTTTTAAATGGTTAGTAATTTTTTGAATCTGTGCTGGATATTATGGATACTACGGCACTGAGTATCTTAGGGATTTTATAGCATTTCTTTAGAGGCTGCTGAATTTTGTTCTGATAAGAGGTTCAGTTACTAGCAGATGAGCTTTATTTTCCCTCCCAGGCTTGCCTTTAAACTTTCTGGGGCACAGGGGGAGAGTGGTCTCATTCCTAAAGCATGGGATTTCTGAGATATCTCTGAACAGCTCAGAAAGTCTCTCCAGTCTTGCTTGTGAGAATGCCCTTGTCCCTCATTGTATGACTGCTAGAGTTTGTTAAGATTACAACTTCCTAAGCGTTGTTTTTGCCAGGTTTTGTGTTGTCTCTCCCTGTGTATGTACAGCTTATTATTCAACTAACAACTTAGGAAGACTTGTCTAGAGATTTCTGGTACTTCTTTTCTGCACAGCTCCCTGCTTGCAAATAATCCAGATCTACAAACTCCAGCCACATCAACCCTGAACTTCAATGTATGACTCCCTATTTCAGTGAGAACATCGAGCCTTTCTTGGACTCTTATGTTCCACACCTCAATCTGAAGGTGCTGCCCAGCCAGAAGAGCTAAAAGCGAGAAAACCAGGGCACTCGTGTGCCTCACTTTGTGTGTCTTGCCTTTCCCAGGAATGACACTGTAATGCTACTTGTTGGCTAATTTCTGAAAATAGCTGCCTCATATAATTTTTCCAGAATTATAATTATTTAGGTTGGGAAGGCTAATCAGCTACTATTGTGGTTGGAAGCAAAAACCTTTCCTACTGACTTTAAAAGACAGATTGGTCCAGACATGCTGGCTCAAGCCTGTAATCCTAGCACTTTGGGAGGCCAAGGCAGGAGGATTGCTTGAGGCCAGGAGTTCAAGACCAGTCCGAGCAAGAGCCAGACCCAGTCTCTACAAAAAGTAGAAAAATTAGCGGGGTGTGGTGGCATGTGCCTGTAGTCCCAGCTACTAAGGAGGCTGAAGCAGGAGAATCACTTGAGCCGAGGATTTTGAGGTTGCTATGAGCTATTGATAACACCACTGCACTCCTGTCTCAAAAAAAAAAAGGACAAACTGAATGTAAAATACCTGTTCAACCCTGTGCCTCTGAGTCTGAGGGTACTTTTTAAATTGCAAGATGAAGGGACAGCTTACTTTTTTGTTTATTTTGTTTCCTTTTTAAAAAAATATGTCTTGCGTTATCAGAAACTTTTGGCTAGGTTATATCACTCATGAATATGCCACTTAGATACCTATGCATAAGACAAGGTTTTGTGGTGCTCACATGCTAAGAAAAATAGATGTAAATAAAATACCCATAGTACAGTATATAATATGTATAATAATAGAATTATATAAATGGTTTTAGGTGTAGCATAAAGGAGGTAAAGACTGGTTTTGGGGAAAAAGGGTTAGAGAAATTTGAAGAAAGCATGCTAGTTTCAGGGATTAGACTCAAAAGCTGGTTATGTCAATCAGAGGACCAGGACATATGAAGACACATTCCAGAGACATGAGTGTATAAGGAAGAGTCATGGGATAATATGCAAACCTACAAGTTATCTAAAGGGAATTATGTTTACAAAGTAATAGTAATATCCTTTATGCAAAGCTAAAAGGATGCTTAGAAGAGTTTAAGTCTGAGATCCTTGCAGACAGTACTTAAATGATACAGAAAGAAATCCTTACATTGACATTACCTTATATATCTTCTAGAAACGCAGTCTTGACTCAGACTGCCTGCACTCACATCCCAGGCAAAATACTTCAACTCTCTTGACTCCTCAGTCAAGTGGAGGATGTGACTCCTTCATTGGATTTCTGTGAGTTTTAAATAAGTTAGTACACGTGTACTTGGAGCCAAACCTGATGTCTAGTAAGAGTTCATCATTAATTATTAGAGCAGTTAGAGGCAAGAAGACTGTGGATCAGTAGTTGTGGCGAGCCTCTAGCAAGCTCTGGGTCTGAGTCAAGGAGGAGGACCCATTTACCTGTTTAGTGAGCACCAAGGGATCCATGTTCACAGGCATGGTGCTCCTAAGCAGACTGTCTCTAAAAAGTTGTTCAGCAAAATGGTAGCATGGTTTTTTGTGTTCTGTATTTTCACAGGTATCAGTTATTAGCAGTCAAACCAACGAGTCAGTTTCCAAGATTTTTGGACAGTGGACGGTTTTAGTAATAATGAGGTAAAAGTAATAGGAGAATAATCCATGAATTGGGGTTACTCAAATCCTATCCAGACGAGCTCCCTCTTCCTGCAAGATCTCTGCAGACAATCTTTACATAAAATCAAAACTTTGTTATCAGTTTGGGCTTTGGCCCCAAATACCCTTCAATATGGGCCTTGAGACGTACAATTCAAATCTCATTGATTCCTGGTCGATAGCTGTGGTGGCAAGCAGTGGAAGTCCTCCCCTGAAGGTGTAAGCAAATCTTTTCTGATAAAGTTGTTTTTCTCCCCCTGCTAGAGGGACAGTAGTATCCCTGATGAACTGAGCCCTGTGCATTAACAAGTGAAATAACAAAAGCGAGGTAACATTGACTGTAGGAGGTGAAGCTCAGTAATATGTGGGCCCTTTCCCATCCAGGTCTTTACTATTCCTCTCCCTCCCTTTCTCCTGTAGGGGGATTGCTGCTGCCACATCCTAGTCAGATTCCAGAACTTTGCATTAGCTCATAGTTTTGAGAGTGGAGCTGCCATAGTAGTTACCGAGCCACCGCACTCTCAGAGAGCAAAGTGCAGACTCCGTAGTAAGGTCTCCCACACAGCTTTGTTTGAGACCCCTCCCTTAGGTGCTGTCCTCCTGCCTGAGAAAGGTTCTGAGTAGCAAATAGCAGAATATCTCACTCTTTAGTAAGCTCCTTCTGCATTTTGCTAGTGAATCTGGTCTTTCCTCTGATCTGAGCAGTGAAATCCAAGACTTGAGTTTGGTCTTTGGGTAAAACAGGAAGAACAGGGTGTTTGGCTGCCTTGATTCCAGGACATCTGGCTGACCGGACATAGTAATGGGAGTTCTCTGTAGCACCATCTTAGCTCATTAGAATTTTCCATTGGGCCTGAGGGACAAAATATCAATAGATTCCTTTGTTCTTACTGTATACATTGATTAGGGCCTCTCGAAGAGGCTGCCTAGTTAAATCTATCATAATTACACACCAGCAATACCAATAGCCAATGGGAGTCACAGCAGGTTGGCCATGAAGGAGAACCACAAATAGCCAAGCTGTTTATTTACAGATAGTGCTATTAAAGTCCTAAAATGGTAGGAATTGCCTGTAACTGTAAATCCACTTTCTCCTAGAAAACACTTTTATAGATGGTAGTTAAATTCCAGACTAGCCCACATAATCTTATATAATCTTGAAGATAGCTGTATTATTGTAATGACAGTATGACTTCAATTATACCAAATTCCATTTTATAACCCAGATTTATTTTGATGAGAAAATTCATGTTGAGCTCCAATTTTAGAGGCCTAAAACATATCTCCCATGGTGCTGTAGAATGTGGGGTGGGCCAGAAGAACTGTTGGTCTTGTCTTATGGAGTCAATTCATAGTTCTGTGAGTGGACAACCCCATTTCCTACAACTGCCTGCTGGGAACCCCCTGTACCCTACGCTACATACCCATCCCTTACTGTTCCCCCCCAACACACACATGCACGTGAGCATACCTGCAAGCATCCTTTCATTGGGGTCTCTTTAGTAACATAGGAATCATAGAATTAGAGAATTTCCTGTTCCCAGTTCACATATGGCGGGGGAACAGGCAATTTCTGTTCTCACTACGTAGAAGTGGTATATAAAATCTGTTTCTTACCTCTCAAGTTAAATCCTTGAGTTTTATTTTTCCCTTGTAAATGTTGATACACTCACAGTGAATCAGTTCTTACATATTATATACTTTAGGTACGTTATATGTTAAATAGGTAATTGTAGGCTGACCCTACAACCCAAATGCTATTGCAAAATTAGCCAGAAGTACTCACTTTACCTTGAATTAGTTTATCTTTTGGTCATCTAATTGTTGGGATTTTTAATTTCTAAATATATTACATCTTCAAAAGAAAATTACAAATTTAACTCTGGCAAACTAGCATGTGTGTGTCAATGTTCCCAAACAGCTAAGTTGTTTTTTGTAAAGAGACATATAGAAAAGCCTGTCAAAATAGGTTTCATGTTAGGAGGGAGAAACCCCTGTGGGAGATCTGTTTTGTTCAATTTGTGAATCATTCTGCTTCTCATGGAAGAGTGAGGCAGGATTGAGGAAGGTGTCTTCTCTCTCACTAAGTTACTTATTTTGACTTACTTCGTATGGGGCGACACTGTGCTTTCACCCGTTCTTTAGCACTAGTCTCAAGCTTTCCAACACGAAGAATGAAAAATCAAACCCTTGGTCCATGACACTTGAATGAGCACCTGGCAAATGTGTATTGAAGATGTGAATGAGGAAACATCCATGATTCTAAGCATGAAATATCTAAAAATGCTATAACTACATGCACACACAATGCTTTGATATTTGCAACAGGCTAAACATAGCTGAATGGATTCAGACCTTGATCCAGGTTGTAAATATCATCTTTAAAATCTCTGGGCATGCTGTCAAGGGTGAAAAAGTGAAAAGACATTAGAAGATAAAGGCATCGGAGATAGATTTGCTTGATAGTATAAATCATGTCTGTGTTCCATATGCATCAGCATTAACCAAGTCAACTCTCTGTCTCTAGAGTTTCTTTTATAAATGTATTCATTTTGGGGAGACTGCATGGACTTTTATTGCCTTGCGAAAACAATACTCAGCAGAAAAACCAACCTCTTCAATAATTTAAACAGATATAGGTCAAGAGTATATTATGGAAACAGTTGGGAACAACCACAGCATATGAGCAAAACCTCTGGAGTGGATCTGCTGCATTCACCACTGTGTTTTTTAAATTATAGGGAAGGCCGTAAATCCCATCGGAGACTCTAGCCTACAATGGGCAGCCATGACATTGCCAGCTTTCTTTTCTCTTATAATTGGCTTTGCTTTTGGAGCCTTATACTGGAAGGTAAGTGTTGCTATTGCTTTTTGTTTATGTATTCATTTTGCTCTTGATCAAGCAACTTTATGTATTTATTTGTTCATGCTATATTTACATAAATGATTAACAAACAAACTTTCTGTTTCTGAGAAAGGATCCTATTAAGAAAATAATGGGTCCTACCTTAACTGACAGTCTGAACAAAATTTAAATTTAAGAAAGGTTCCCTCCATTTCCTTGTTGTGTCTGGAGACTATCCCTGTATACAGCTAAAAATCTATCCACATGTAAGAATTGGGAACTGGTTTTAATAGCCTGAACTAAATATAAAAGGAAATAAAAGCTGCTAAAAATCATACGATGTGCTTGAAAGTCGAATAGAAATGCCATTTGTATTATCTGGTATTTGAGATTTCTACTCATTTGTCCTCTTATTGGGGACATTCTTATTGAAGCCTCTCTAAAATTTTAAAATGTGCTAAATCATCGCAACTCAGCTTTCTGAAATGTCTTTGGAATTTGATCTCTATTTAAATCTGTCAGTTTGTTATTCAACATCCTAAAAATGTTCAGTAATACCATGCAGTTTTCATGCTTTTTTACTACAAAATTATTTTGCATGCTGCATGTTGGGAAAAAACCTATATTGGAGTTATTGACATAAAAGAAAAAAGTGGGGACCACTTACCTATTAAATATTATAACTATTCACTAATATTTTTACAACATATTTCATTGTTCTTTTCCCAGAAGAAACAGCCAAATCTTTCAAGGGCAGTTGAAAATATACAGATTAATGAAGAGGATAATGAGATAAGGTATTTTGTTTTGCTCAATGTGTGCGTAAATGGGCCTGACATTGGCATTTCTCACATGTGCACATGACCATAATGTCTTTAAGTTGTTCACTCCCATGATGGCAGCTGACAACCTGTGAGTTCCACCTCTCCATTCCTGCTTCTGACCTCTGACTCTCTCTTCACTCCTGCATCTCCATTTACCTGTAGAATACCTTCACACAACTATCTTCATGATTCTTCTTAGGGTATCGAAAGGGGTCACCTCTGCTTTCTTTATTTCTGTAAGCCACAGAATCTTGCTCAGACTCCTGGTGATGGAGCTCTGGAGGCATGTTTGCTTATGTCCCTTTTCCACACTATTATCAAAACATACTGATTCATTTCTCAGAGTCTCTTTCCAAGCTCAGTTCTTTGGTAACAGTCATTATCATCATGTATGTCTTTATGATCTCGAGTTGTCACCATGGATCTTTTCTGTAGACCTTCTAATCTCAACCTTTGCCACATCCTTCCTTAACACATTAACTGCCATGTAAGCTGTATTTAACTCACGCTAGTTTTGAGCCCAGGGAATTGTGAAGCATATGTAACTCACATCCCTCTACCTTGGGAGCCACAAGAACTATTTTTCGAGTTGCATATAACTCACTCATGGAAAACAATAAAAAATAACAAATTTTTCATTAAGTAAGAAAGGATTGTTTTGTTTTCAAAGTTTTTATTGTTTTCATAATAAAACACTTTGGCCCCAAGGAAACAAATTTTTTTTTCTGGTGTGGCAGTCAATGTGTTAAACCCTGGTTCATAGTGTTACTTCCTATTCAAGATACATTCAGCAATTTTCTCTTATATACGTAATATATTCTTTTACATCACTGTGACTTTCAGAGCCCTTAACTTTTCTTAATATAGTCGTTATTTTCTCCAAAACCAAATTTCAGATGCTTTTCCATTTGCTGTCACTGGCCCTCATTACTTTCTTACCTTACCCCATATTGCCCTGCACTCATATTTTCATTTACGTTTGGTTATAATTTTAATTTGGCATGTTACTTTCTCTCATATCATGCCTAAATGTATACATAGACCTATACAAAGAGAATATTAGCATGTTTAATGTGTGCATATGCATAGAGACTTTTTAAAACTACCTGGAAAGACTGTATTGAGACAGATAAATTTTTTTCTTACCTACAGTAACTTTTATGAAGGTTAGTTTCCCCTTCAATTTTGCAATCTTTGCTACTGTATTTACAGAAACATTGCCTTTTACAATGGCCAGATCATGGTGTACTTCAGAATCTCTGTCCAAAAGCAAATAAGCATTTTTATTATTATTTTTCAGTATGTTGCAAGAAAAAGAGAGAGAGTTTCAAGAAGTGTAATTGTGGCTTGTATCAACACTGTTACTTTCGTACATTGGTAAGTTTTTAGAATTCAAATTGAAATATTTAGCAAGAACTATACAGCACCTTAGATGCCAAAATTTAGAAACAAATTTCATTATTAAGTCTTCTTTCAAGCAGATGTCAGTATGTTAATGGAAGTTGTTACACAGCTGACTCGTGTATATCTAATTCATTGTGCATTCTCCAGCTTTGAAAGGTAAGCAGTGCCAGTGTGATTCGTGGCTTCATCTTGTGTGGGAGACAGATAAAACCTTAACAGTTGAGTATTTACTTGGACTATTTTTGAGGCCCATAAAATAAATTAGGCAAGGGGAATAGAGCTAATTAGGACTAAAATAAAATATTATTAACAGGAGAAAAGTATATAAAACCAATTTTGTTCAGGTGTGACTACCATAACATGACAGTATCCCATTTGCTAGATGCTCACACAAGAGAAAACCAAAAATGTTTCCCTGCCCATTTTAAGGAAAAGGAGATAAGGTCAAAATATCTCACATTCAGAAGTGTAAAATTGTCACGGTCAGGTGCCACCTGCCACTTGACTGGTGATCATTATGCCTCACCCCGGGCCAGAGCCCAGGCTGCACTGAATATAACCAGTGGCAGATACGTGTTGTGATTGTGTGAGTCTGTGGAAGGATTGTGAGAGAAAGGAGAGAAAGACGTGGCTAGAAGATACTGGTGGTCATTTCCTCCTGTCCTATCTATTTTGTACTCTCCCTCACTTTGACTTCTGCTAACCATCTGTTAATTTTGTTATTGCTCATGGAATCCTGCATGCATTTACCACAGTGGCATGTGAATGTTCTCTCTTCCCAATTCTTCAATTCTTCCATGCATTCCCTCAGCAGAGGATTATTTACTCTCCTAGTTTATTAGAGATGGGGTCTGTGGTGAGTTCTTCCTTTTCCTCACAGGTCACCATCCTTCCAGCTTTCCCCTCTGCCCCAGATTCGGAGATTTATCTCTAGACTGAGTCTTCCTCGCAAGAGCTGGGTCATAGGGTGTCTTGCCTTCCCTGGCAGCTCACTTTTATAGTTTTAGAACATCATGTTTCACTAACCCAATATAACATGATATAATAATTATGTAGCATATTTCTCTAACTCTTTAACTCTTTAATCCTGTTATTCCACAGACTTTGTTACTTTTGCCTTAAATCATACCCTTGAAAACCATATTCCCAGCATGAATAGCACCTCTTTTTCTTTTTGCTCCCCCATCCCAGCTTTTATCTATGCTCATTCCTCCTGTCAAGTACTGTAAGTGGACAGACCCTTCACTCAACCTTTTTATTTTTTATTTTTTGGAGACAGAGTCTTGCTCTGTTGCTCTGGATTGCAGGGGTGTGATCATAGCTCACTGTGACCTCAAACTCCTGAGCTCAAGTGATCCTCCTGCCTCAGTCTCCAGAGTAGCTGGGACTACAGGTGCACACTGACATGCCTGGCTAAATTTTTTATTATCATTATTATTATTATTATTTTGGTAGAGTCTGTGTCTTGCTGTTGCCCAGGCTGATCTCAAACTTTTGGCCTCAAGCAATCTTCCTTCCCCAGCCTCTCAAAGTGCTGGGATTACAGGCATGAACCATCATGTCTAGCCTCAACCCTTTTTATTTTCTGGAGCAATATTGCGCAAGCTGAAGTCATTGTTTTTCCTGGAAACTCATTTCTCTGCCTTTTGGCCCCAGGATAAATTTCACCAATTTTTTTTTTTCTAACAGCCATTTCAGTTCCCTTAAGCCAGACATCCACAAACCACACATTAAATGGTTAACTGAGCCTTAAATGCTCAAGTAATGTCCTCTGTTGTTTGGTTTTGGATGGCATTGCTGGGATCCTTTATTGGCACATAGGTCTTTAACCATGTGGTTTTAATCATGGCATTTGTCCAGTGACATTTGGAGAGTGGATTAGGATGGGGAAACCCAGGCACTTGTTTAGGAGGCAAAAAGATGGCATTTTATGTCTACCAGTCAGTTAACATTCAAGGACAGGGGCAGAATCTGTCTGGTTCTTGCTGTATCCCCAGCACCTAACTCGTTGCCTGTGCATTATAGGCTCTCAATACATGCATATTGAATGAGAGGCTGGGTGAAGGAATCAGCCCTAAATAAACATTTAACCAAATGGCAAAGAAGATAGTTCTTCTGAAGTAGGGTTTGTTTTCATCGTATGTGTATGTGTGTGTGTTTTTGCTAGTTTGGATCAATGGGACATCAAGGTGTGCACATCAAGGGGGAATATATTCACAAGGGAAATCTACTATTAATTTATTTTTCTTCAAGTATGGAATATTGCTAATGTATAAAATGAATCACATTAGTCAGGTTAAAGAAGCACGTAACTGTTCAGAAATAAACTCATCACACTTATAGAGCAGTCGGTGTGAAATGGATACTGGAATGAACAAAGAAGCGACTAATTCTCCTTCACGGAGTGCCTTACTCACGTCTGCACAGCCCTCTCAAGGCTCAGCTCGGATACTACCGCCTCTAAAAAGCTGACTGCCCAGGAGAAAATGATCTCTATTTGTGGACTTCTAATTACGTATCATATGACCCTTGGTAGGACATCACAGTTACTTAAACAAACATTTCATGTCCTTTTCAAAACCAGAAGCTCTTAGAGGACAGGATCTGTTTCTGAATTTCATTTTGGAACTCTCCCAAACTATATCACTTATACTTTGCACATATAAATACTGAATAAATATTTATAGAATAAATGGAGAGATAAATGAATACCTTGGAGAACTGCAGCAATGTCAGAATAAAATTTATGTAGGTAAAAATAGAAATAAACTTGCATATATGTATGAGTAAATCAGAATTCAAATGCAGAGGGAAAAGTAGGGAAAGAGAAGGAAAAGAGCCAGCTCATCACGAAAAATCTACAAACTCCCAGGTCAAAATGTGTATATTATATTTGTAATTATTTATTGACCACCCATTGTATGGAGTAAGCCTTAGACTTGGTCCCATACCAGCAGAGCTTCAGAACCCTCCAAGGAACTCTAAGTCTAGTTGGAGGAGAGGTGTGTGGTAGAGGGAAAGGTTTGAGAGAACAGTCTATGATGTAGTAGGAGAGGAAATCTTCCAAAAGATAAGAATAACAGTAGTAAAAAGTACCGAGATAGAAATGAAATGAAGAGTTGTAATTATACATTCTAAAAAAATAGATATAATTTGGATTATAATCATTTTTTGGTTTGCAAGAAAGGGGAAAATACAGGGAATGACTCAGATTTATGGCAAGAATTTCTCCCTGAAATGGAAGTTTAACCAACTAAAACAAATTAAATCAAGACAAATATTGGAACACTACAATATAGAACATATGGAATAGCTCCCTGAAGGAAATAACCTATAATTTGGAAATGAAGAGAAGTAAGGAGGGTTTAATAGTTTAAATACAAGGAAAGAACATGGAAGGAAGGAAGGAAGGAAGGAAGGAATACAAGTAATGAACTAGAAACAAAAGAAGTTGCACCTAAGAAAAAATATACTAAAGTTGTGTTTGTTTAACATCACTCATGAGAACAGCTATGTGAAAAGCTAAAAATCCACTGAGTCACTTAGCTGATGCCAGGTATCCATATGCGGCATCCTGCAAGAACTGTTCATGTGTTGGGGTTGTGTATAGCACAGATTAAGAGAAATAAATATAGATAAATTATATTAAAAGCTTTATTTATGTTTGTACATTATGGTAAAATTTTGCTCTTTACTCTTCCCACACATGTGATTCCAGCAAACTCTAGGAGGTGCATTGGTGGATGCAAAGCTTAATATAACCTAGTTCTGTCCTTAAATTGCTTATAGCCTACAAAAGGAAATAAGACATATGCATAATGACCAATTTTAAAAAGTAAACTAAAAGTTTCCAAAGTTTAAAAAGCAACAAAAGATGCTGAAATAAAAAAACAACAACAACAACAAAAAAGCAACAAAAGGTGCTTGCAAAGAAAATGCAGTAAGAGATCAAAGTTGGGGCCACTGCATGTAGCAGTGTAAGATGTGAGCTCAGTACAGCTCTCCACGTTGGTGTGGATGGCATCTCTTAGAATTGCCATGCACACCCATGTGCAATTGCCTTATCTGAAGAGAAAGAGAAATCACTAGCAATAGTAGAAAGGCTTTGCTTTCTAGGTGATATAGGTGGCATTTGTACTGAGCTAGATCTTTACTGCAAATGGCGTAAACTAAGTCAAGAAGGCACCAAAGTATAAACTGTAATATATTCAAGACTCAGTTTGTACAGTGCGATTCTAGTGGAAGTCATATGTAAAAGGTTAAAATGCTGAGAAGAAAGAATGAGCATCAGTTTAAAAAAACCTTTGAATTCCAGGAACAAGACTCAAACTCCCTTGGGTAATGTTGAGGGGGTATAGAAAAGACATGGGTGATACAATCAAAGCAAAGGTTTAGGGAAACTAATCAGGTGTTGGTGTGGCCAGATGGATGGCAGTGATTAACTAGAGAAAGGGAGTCCACCTATGAGGCCAGTCTTGCAATAACAAGTCAGAGGATGACAACTCAGCTAGGGCCAGGGCCTAGACCACTTTGGAGCATTGCAGTAAAAGACTCAACAAATCCAATTTATTGATGGGTTGTAAAGCTTGGCATCACAGGCAGTACTCAAGGATGATTTGGAGCCTGTGAGGCTTACCAGATGTCTATGCCATTAAAAGAAAATGGGAAGTCAGGAAAAGGAACTGTTGGTAAATATTATTGGAACTGACCAGTGACCAAATATGTTAGACTTTGGAAAATAGTCAGGGCTAGAAATAAATGATTTGAAATTTGAGAATCATCTACAAATAATCTTAACTGAGACCTTGGAAGAAAGACTGCTTAGTCACAGAGAAGGCCCAGTCTGGTTGTTAGTTAATAGCATGGGTTTGTAGACACTCAGCAGTTTATTGACTTACCCCAGCATGGTAAATGTATAAAGCATTCTCATTATACTTAGGCTTGTGGAGAGATTCGTAAAAGAAACACAAACTAGAAGTTTCCTGTATATCTGAGCTAAGGCAAAAGAAAATAGATCTGAGAATTAGAATAAGGAAAGCTTGGAAATTTAGGCCACAGAGCTTTGGGTAATGGTTGTTTACCAAATGGCAAGATCTGTGATTCTTTACCAGATATTTCCTAATAATTTCTGAAGATTTGGAAGTTTTGTTTCTGAGATTTTTTTTTTCTGTAGACCCTTTGTGAGGCAGAGGACTAAAAGGAATTAGACATAGGTTCAAGCCTTGGCTCTGCGACTTAACTAGCTGTAGAATCCTGTATGAGTCAGGTCATGTCCTTTAACCTCTGGTTTTTCATATGTAATGAAGGGATAATAATATTCACTCCTCTTATTTTGTGAGGTCGTTGTAAGAATCCAGGGTATCATTATAAAAATTGTAGTTTTGTTCAACGGGAAAACAGTGTCGTCCTTCAAGTTTATTTTCTTTCTAAGTGACCCAGGGGCAAAATCAAAAATAGATTTCCAATTTCGCTTCTCTACATTTAATGCTCTGCATTAAGCTTAGAATTTGAAATTATTCATAGTTTTTAAAAAACTTCTCTTGCTTTTTGTGATTCCCTTTTGCTTTTCTAACCATGCTGTATTTTTAAAATATCTTCTGTATATTTTGGATTTCTGAAGTTTTCTCTTACTATCTCTTAATTCTTTTGTTCTGGATTTAATTCTGCTCTCTTAAATACAGGTTCTCTAATTTCTAGAGTCCTCTGGTAAATTGTTATGTAATATAATTTTTAATATATTACATTTAGAGAGACTGGAAAAAATACTACAATTCTTATTACTCACACGATGGAATTTTATAGATTACATAATGATCTCAATGTTTTAAAACCAGTGCTCTGTGATTCTGGGATTGATAAAGAAGGACAAAAGTAGGGAAAGGGACCAAGCAGGGAAAAAGAAAAATGCAAAACATACATTTATTTAGGGGCTGCGATTGAAGATAGAATGATGATACTGTCTATAATTTTTAAGAAGTACATAAGGAAGTACAAATACTTTACTGGGAAGCTGAAACATCAGAAATCTCAGTGGTTCAATATCAGCACTGGAGGACTAAAACAAAGTATGGCTTTCATGCCTCAACAAGTACAGTAAGCTGTGCTGAGGCCAAATGAACCTTGCCGGAGACTTTGTCAGGATGTGGTGCCAGGATTTCAGTCTGTCTTTTTTTTTTTTTTTTGGCTGGAAGTATTGAATGAAATCTTACGGCTGCTATTTCCTCAACTGGGAGAAACAATTGCTAGAACCTAGCGAGGCAGTCAAGGTCCTGGAATTGCTCGGTGGCCATGTGAAGCTATTAATGCAAATAATGTTGGTGGCTTCTGATCAGCTTCTCCTCTTGTCCCAAGTATCTTTTTCATGCTCCTCCATCAATCTCTACTTCTTCATTCTCTTCTCTCTAGACACTGCCTTGTCTTTCAACTCTTCTCCTCTCACCACCTGTCTACTACCTTTCATAGCCTTGCTAGAGAAATTTAAGACGAAATAGGTTGATAACCCTCTTATCGCAAACTGAGATCGTTGGTGGAATGTCTGGGAGTAAGAAATGCATTCATTCATTCATGTAAGAATGCATTCGTTCATGCATTCTTAGATTCAAGAAATACTTACTGAGTCTATTATGTGGCAAGCACTGCTACACGAGTGGAGGTACAACAGTAAAAAAAGATAGACAAAGCTCCCTTTCTTCATGGAGCTTATATTCTAATAGGGGAAGATAGACAGTAAACAGTAAGTAAGATCATTTCACATAATGTTAAGTGTTACCAGGGAGATCATAGAATGTGAGTCATAATTTCATCTTAGAAAACATTCACCAAGTTCTTTTAGGCTATGTAAGTGAAACATGCATTGTAAATCTGTTGCTCATTCTGTGGTCTTGTATGAATTCAGTTACTGAGAATGGAAAAAAGGCAGAAAGCAGACACGCCATAATCTCTCCTTTTTCCTTCCTCTCTAGGCTGGTAACAGTTCATGTTTGCTTCATAAATGAAGCAGCTTTAAACAAATTCATATTCTGTCTGGAGTGACAGACTGCATCTTTATCTGTTCTTGCTACCCATGACTTTATATGGATGATTAAGAAATTGGAACAGAGTGTTTTACTGTGAAACTGGCACTGAATTAATCATCTATAAAGAAGAACTTGCATGGAGCAAGACTCTATTTTAAGGACCTGGGGGACTGGTGGTCTCGTGTAGAACTTGGAACTGATGTTGGAAGAGAAAGCACGTGTGTCAGACTGCACGCACCATTTGCATGGCTCCAGAAATGTCTAAAATGCTGAAAAACCACCTAGCTTTATTCTTCAGATACAACCTGCAGCCTGTAGTTATCCTGGTCCCTGCAACTAGATTTCAGCCTGCATAGTAGGGATAATAATTTTTCTTGAAGGGATCTAGAAAATAAATTTAAAACTCAGTAGCATCAGCCACTGTATGGCGTAGAAAGCAGTGGGAACTAAGTGATTGGAGTTGGCAACACGTCAGCATTGTAGTTGCTGATTAACGATATGAGTCTCGATCTCTTCCTGATGTAAACCATGCTCACCCATATCCCACTAAACAAATGGACACGGCTGCCTGGTTCTATCCATGCCGGGGAGCCAGTTACTGAATTACACCTTGGCACAGGGGAGATTCTCTGAAAGAGTCATCGCAGGAAGAAGCTGTGAATACTGAACAGCAGAACAGTCTACTGAAAAGGACATTTGGCACCCCTGAGGAAGTCTGCCTGTTCCCTTGGCCACTATAGAACTATAGAGTGTATAAATCATGTTTGCAAAATATGTTATGACATGTTTATATTCGAAAACTATTACTGAGCTATGTAAAGGGACTTAGGAGAAAATGCTGAATGTAAGAGGGTCCCATTTTCAATTTCCACCATGGGAAATAATAAAAATAAATTATGATATTTAGTATCTAAGGTTAGAAAACCACACCCACATGCTAATATGGGTGTTGAAAAAAACTGGGTTACTTGGCTTTTACAGGAACGCAAGGAATCGGGAGACTTTAGTTATTTATAGTATAATCACCATTATCTCTTTAAAGGAACCATTTATTTAAAATCAGGCACTCTATATTATTAAGGTTTATAAATTAAAAATAAAAAGAAAGCTTTATGTAGTTATGCATGTCAGTTTGCTATTTAAAATGTGTGACAGCATTTGTCACATTAAGAGTAAATTTGGCAGGAATTCCTAAGATGGACACTGTACTTTTAAACTAGAACTTGTAAAACATTATGTGATATCCCTTGCCAATTTTTTTTGATAGTGAAAGGAACATCTGACTAAAGTCAAAGAATGATTTTTTTTTTTTTTGGTTTATTCTGTTGAAGGTTCTTTTAACATGTAACATGTCAGGAATGTACACCTAAAGGAATTCAAAGCTCTCCATTCTAATTTAATCTTTGTGATATTATTATTGCCATGTACAACCATAAGATGGCAATTTTCAATACAGTAATACAAAAGGGCATGAAAAACTGACTTCTAGCTTTCCTTTAATTTTAAAAGTCCAAGAATTTCTAGTATAGCTGGATTTTAGCTTAAGTTCAAAGCTAATCCAAACCAACTCCAATAAGAGTGGCCTTTGCTCTTTTTTATACCAAAGAGCCAAGATAATGTGCTGTGGTTCCTTAAACACTAGTCGTTTCTCTAAGACACAACCCAGGTGCTTTGGGAAGCCACATTAACTTGTTCAGGCCCTCCGATATCCCATGGTACAATTGATTAGTAATAAAACCAGAGATCAGTTTAATTGCTGAAAGGTCCTGTGTCAGTGTATGGCACTGATTGTTTTGAAGAATAAAGACATAGATTAATTGGAGTTATGTGTGTAGGTTATGTATAGATTGAGAAGTCTGATACTTCTCAATCTAATGGTTTGATTTCTTTAACCAATGGTTTCAATTTACTTGGGCATATGAAAATGCTGTTTAATACACTTGAGAGTACAATAAATGTACTTTGTTCTCAAAGCTAGTAGCTGAGTTTTAACACCCAAGGACATGGTCTTAACCAGTGGAGTTAAATAAACAAGTTCAGTAAGTTATGAAATCTGACATGATAGGGGAGGGGAGATGTGTCCTGCCTATTAAATATATTGGTTCATTGCCAATTTTTAAAATTCAATAAAGTGCATGAACAATAGAAAAATGCTGAACATTATTTTGGATGCTAACTGCTTGGACATTAACTATGTCATATCTGCTTTGAGATAAATATAAACATATATATATTTGCTTATTTTATCCCAGATGTGTTCTGAATATCCTTCATAAATCATGGAAAACTCACAGCTGAGATAGTAAACCATGAAATCTCCTTTTCAATTGGTGCCATGTATCTGATTGTTCTCTCTTGCAATGTTTCAAAATCACCTTTTAAAATGATCTCAGAAGTCTATAGATTCTAAATTATACTGAAAGCTTTGTTTCTCCCTCTTTGGTAGAAACCAAGTCTGTAAAGAAACTGGCTCTGTGATAAATGATGCCTGCCTGGTGATCTCAAAGTTTTCCTGGATATTGTATTATAATCTAACATGCTTACCACACTGCCGATTTTTAATGAGTCAAAGGCAAATTGATTTTTTCAATATGATAATAGAACAAGTAACCTATACTCTGAAAAAGGATTACAGATGTGAAAAATAACAATATATGAAAAAGTGTGTGTACATAATGAAGTATTTCTTTTTAGTTAAGAATTAAGTACATTTCATTGAGCATTAAAGTACTTTGGAGAAACTTTGTGGCACATTTTAGTACTCCAATTGAAGTTGTAAATGAACAGAAAAATCCATTCAGAAATCATGGATTTTTTTAAATGTTTTTCTGCAGCTAAGTTTAATTCCAATATGGGGATTTTAGCCATTCCATATCTAGTCTTCTTTAAGAAATATATTCTTCAAAAAGGCATTTTGACATAGTGGGATGGATGTTGGGAAATATTATCAGAAACCTCCAACTGTCATTTACTCATATGGTAAATCACGTCCCCTCTTTGGATCTCAATTTTTTATTTATCTGTATGGTAAACTCGGAATACACTCTTTAGGGGTGAGCCCTGTTTCTATATGACTGACAAAGAAGATAAAATAGAGCTGAAACTATCCCATGCAAAATATTCAAATCTACTCCTGTGAATAAGTATCTTGACCATAAAAAGTTGTTGATGTTCTTGTTTCTAATGTAAATAGGGTCCATTAGTAAAAGTGAAATTCAGTCTCCAGTAGTGTGAATTGGAAAACCATTTACACAAGAGATGGCTTTTTCCTTTGCTTAAATAAACGTTTTGGATCACCTCTGAAGAATGAAAACCAGTAGTACCTTTTATTCATTTTAGCCAAGACGAGATACTGTAAGATGTGTGTAACATTTGGAAATGAACCAAATTAAGCATTTAAATGTTCTCATTTTATTGAAAGCTAATGTAAGACATTCATAAAGTTTTTGAATGCCAGAAGATATATTAGAACCTATTTATAAAGGGGTAATCCACAAATTACATTTTAAAATTGGAAAGTGGGATAAGAATTTTAAAGTAAGCCAGCTTATCCTTGAAACAATATTATTTTGAAATTGACTTTAAGATAGAACCATTCAGATAGAAATTCTAATTAGTTCATTTGTGGAATTTGATCACACAATTCATGGTGTTGGTGTTTTCCATTAACTAGTCTTGAAATGCCTTTATTTGTAAAGATCAAGTAACAGTTTCTTTTCATAACAAGGTGTTGTTTCAGAAATAATCCATATTCATGTGGATATTTATGATCCTAAAATGTTTGCTAAGCATTATAAATTTATTTATAACTGCCATCTCCAATTACATCCTTATGATGTTTTTTAAAAAATAAAATTAAGATAATTATTTATACTAAAAACCATGGTGTTTTCAAATACTTGATTTCTGAGTTACAAGACTCACTAAATACAATTTTTCAATCAAAATATCCTATTCTCCTATATTCTAAGGATTAGTATGTGATTATAGTGTCTACTTGTCACCATTTTTAAATCAATGGACTTGAAAAGTATTCATTTAGATGGATGCACAGTATATATATCCCTAGTTCAGTCATAGATTGGAGTTTGCATATCGTAATGTAAATGTATGTCAACACTATTCTAAATAGTTTTATTACAACTGAAGTTTAATTAAATAAAAAAGGTTGTAAAATGTGATGTGTATGTGTATATACTGTATGTGTACTTTTTAAAATAGGTATATGTCCTGACCCCTTTTTTATACAGGTTTGAATTTGAAATTACATTATATATACATATACTTTATTGTTCTAAATAAAGAATTTTATGCACTCTCATAAATTTGCCCTGTCATTTGAGATCTTAAGATTATCACATATGTTCACAACATCGTTAAACATTTGATAAGCTAAAATCAAATTTTTCTATGGAAACTTTTTATCATCAATCTAGATTTTGTTGAAATATGGACACAAGGGGATAAGCAGTAATTTTAATTCAATACGTATTTATTGATCACCAAAATAAGTCAAAGAAGATGAATTAACATATTGTTTGCTCTCAAGAGGTTTATAATTTAGTTGGGGAAGATGGGAGAAGTATTCACGCTGCAATAACTACGTATGTGCAAAACTAAGGTCTAGTTCATGCACTTAGGACATGAGGAAAGGGGAGATGGATACAGAACAGGGAGGATCATGGAGAATTTGGTGTTTGGGCTAAGACTTCGAAGGATGAGACAAATTTTGATAGAGAGTGAGAACTATGCCCAGTCTGAGCAGCATTCTCCAAAGTAACAAGTTGTAAAATTTCTCAGTTTATTTCACCAAATCAGACAGGTACGTTCTTAGCATATGCTGTGTAAAGAGAGAGAGACAGAGAGATGAGACCAGACCCTTGGATGCCACAACAGGGAGTGCAGATGCTATTATTAGGGTCCACAAGAAGCCACTGCATGTTTCTGAGAAGAGGAGTGGCAAGAAGATCAAACCCCATTATGGCTTCTGTGGTTTAAGCAGTAAATAATCATCCCACTTAAGCCCTGGTCAGTGTTTGGCTTGAGACCACATCCCCCAGCCTTACTACACCACACATTCACTTCCCATTTCTCTTCAGAATGTGCTGATTCTCCTTCCTCTGCCCATCCTTGATCTTGCCATCTTCCACCAACCAATACAAACCTAGATGACTATAATAGCCTCCTAACTGATAATACTCCTCCACTTTTGCCCTTTTCCAATCAGTTAATCACATTATAGGGGATATTATGTAGAAATCTAATGACATTTTTCTTGGGTTATAACACTTTGGCTTCTCATTCTTTTCAAGATAAAGCCCTAAATCCTCAACATGCCTTAGAAGGCCCTCCTTAGGCCATCTCATAATTTTTTTCTTGGATTGTTAATTGTCTTCTTCTTTGTCATAAACAACATAAGGGCTGGGCCCATGAATACTTAACATCACTGCATTCCTCAAATTTAGTGCACATGATAATTTGTGGGATTGAAACAAAATTTGATCTATTTAGCCATCTCCTATTGTGCTATCTGATAAGGTATTTCTTAAAACTTTTTATTATAGGCAATTTGAAATATATGCAAAGGTAGACAGGACAGTGTAATAAACTCCCATGTAACCATAACCCTGCTTCAACCTTACTCAATTGCTGAATAATCCTGCTTAATTTAAACCCCCTACCTATTCCCCTTATCCATTCCCACTTTCATATTATTTTCAGACAAATGCTTAAAAATATTTGATCTGTTCACAATGGAATGCCACACAGCCTTAAAAAAAAGGAAGATTCTGTCATTTGCAACAACATAAATAAATTTGGAAAACATTATGCTAAATGAGACAAGCCAGGCACAGAAAGACTGAGACATAGAAAGAATCAGACACCATGACCAAGTGGGGTTTATGCCAAGTATGACAGGCTGATTTAACATTTGAAAATCAATTCAGATAATCCCTTATATCAACAGGCTGAAGAAGAAAAATCCCATGATTATATAATTGTTGCAAAAAAAGCAGTTAACAAAATTAAAATGTTTTTTATCATAAAAACCCTGAGGGGTAAAATATATGTCTATATATGTAGATATATAGACATATATTTGATCTGGAAATATTTCTATATGTATCCCTGAATGATAATTTTTTTAAAAACTTAACCACAATACCCTTGTCACACCTAAGAAAAATTAATAATTCCTTAATATCAAAGAACCAATAAGTATTCACATTTTAATACACTCACATTTTACACTGCAGTATTGCACTAGAACAAGGTATAAAATTCAGGTAAAAGTCTCTGTTGAACATTAAAATTAGGTCCCTTCAGAGATAAATGCTGCTAAATATTCCTTGTTAGCTTCTGGAATTTTTTTTTTGCATGTACAAACTATGTGTACATATATATGCAAGACTAGTCTCTAACCTTATCTTTTCCATTTATGAAAAGACTGTGGAACACTCTACATCAGCCCAGATAAATGTTTATCTACTATACCATGATGACCAGGAAATTATAGACAGGAATTAAGGTTGTAATATAAACAATAAATATTGGAGTGGATACGGAGAGATAGGAACACTCATACACTGCTGGTGGGACTGCAAACTAGTGCAACCTCTGTGGAAAGCAATATGGAGATACCTTAAAGAGATACAAGTAGATCTACCATTTGATCCAGCAATCCTATTACTGGGCATCTACACAAAAGAACAAAAGACATTCTGTAAAATAGACATCTGCACTCAAATGTTTATAGCAGCACAATTCACAATTGCAAAGATGTGGAAACAACCCAAGTGTCCATCAATACATGAGTGGATTAATAAAATCCATTAATAAAAATGTGGTAAATGTATACCATGGAGTACTATTCAGCTTTAAGAAACAATGGTGATATAGCACCTCTTGTATTCTCCTGGATAGAGCTGGAACACGTTCTACTAAGTGAAGTATCCCAAGAAAGGAAAAACAAGCACCACATGTACTCACCATCAAACTGGTATTAACTGATCAACACATAAGTGCACATATAAGAATAACATTTATTGGATGTCGTGCAGGGGGGAGGGGGGAGGAGGGGGCGGGTATATGCATACACAAAGAGTGGGATGGGCACCATCCAGGGGATGGACACGCTTGAAGCTCGGACTTGAGGGGGGAGGGGGAGCAAGGGCAATATACGTAACCTAAACATCTGTACTCCCATAATATGCTGAAATAAAAAAAAAAAAAAAGGTTGTAATATAATGTATGTGCTTTGGAATTCCAGTTCATACTTAGCAAAATCCAGCATACTCTCAGAACTTTTCTTTTGTCACCTTATTCAACATTAAAACGGAGCTCACTTCGGAAGACACATCAGCCTCATTAGACTTCTCAATGCATAACTGTGTTTCTCCTACAGCTGTCACTGGTCTGGAGGTGGGGTCTCTGCTCCTCATTGTTGCTTCTGGATCATTCTTTTCTCATCCCTAGACTCTCTCAGATTAGAATCTTGTTATCAAATTACATACCACTTCAACTCATAGTTGCTTTCATGTATGAACTCCCAGGTTCTTCCACCTGGTTTCTTAATGATTTGGGCACCTGGATCACTGTCACTCAATTCATTTGTACCACTGTCTTAATTCTTAGGGATTTTAATACATACACAGATGATCCTTTCTACATCCTTCACTTTCTGGTCCTTGAATTTCTGTCTTCTTAGTGAATTTGACTTCAGCACTACTCTAGCCAATCAGACTCAAGGCCATTCTATAGACTTTGCCACGGCCATTAACTGCAACCCATTCATAGCTCAACTGCATGCATTCCATCTCTGACCACCACTTTGTATCTCTCCACTTTACTCTTTCATGGACTCTAATCCCGACAATCCTTTGACCCATGGAGCCTGCCAATGTATCGATGCTGCCATGTTTCACTGTAAACATTTGATACCCTCTTTTCCCTCCCTAGGTGATTATTAAAATCTGTGTTCCAACATTATAATCACTCTCTTGCATATAACTTCTTCTCCCTTGGTCACTCTCAGTTCCTAATATTGTTTGGTAAACCATCCCCCTGCTCAGATCCAATTCTCCACCCACTTTTGTCTACACTTACATGGCTAAATGTAGCTGGAGTACAGTACACCATCAGGCCTCCTGGTCTCTCTCTAATTCCTCCCAGTGATCTTCATGTGGGTGTTCATGCTGTTCAGCAATTATACTATATTTCCTTAGTCCACTGACTTTCTGCTCTCAAAGCTGACTATTTTATACATCACTTTCCCAAAACACTCCCATCCGTCCCCCTTCTATCTGTCAGCCGATAATCTTGATTGCTATTTCACCTTGAAAATTGAAAAAATAAAATAAAGAGAACTTCCAAAGATACCTAGGAGCTAGAGGCTGATTTTCTGTTAAACTAAAGAAGCTTAAACTTTAAGAACCCTCACTTATCCAGGTTATTTATAGGACCCTGCAGAGGACCTAGCAATGTGTTCACATGGCTATATGTTTTTGTAAAACTTGCAGCTACTTCCATTTATCAGTAGCTGTTCTGGTGTGGAAATGGCTTCACACAACATTCCCACTAACCACTGCGCCAACTCACCAGGGTATCCTGACTTAGAGGTGTGTGGCCAGAGGCTGTATCATGATGCAAACGTGTCCTGTGGACCTGGCACCAAAAGTATGTGTGTGATGGAGGAGAAACAAGGTGCATGGAGCCAGAAGCCAGTGTGTGGAAAATTCTCATAAATATCACAGTCACCAGATGTGTAAAATTGTAAGTGGAGATTCAGGTTTCATTAATGCCTGACTAAACAGAAGTTTTGCCTGTCAGAAAAATAGTAATGCAGCGTATACAGTTATAAACAAACCATACTTAATTTTTTTTTCTGTACCTGGTGAGGAAACGCAATAGAATTTAACAAAATTGCTGTGTTTATAGAGTCAGAAAATCTGTATGTGAGGTCACATGTTTCATGCTTCTCAATGTGCTGGTCGTGGCAAATGCATAATGTGTATCCACCATTATAGTGTCATACGAAATTGTTTAATTGCCCTAAAAAACCCCTTATTCTTTGTGTATTCAATGATGCTCTCCTCCCCCTGAATCTCTGGAAACCACTGATTTTTTGTCTTATCTTTTGCAGAATGTCATATAATTAAAATCCTGCAGTATGCAGCCTTTTCGGATTGGCTTCTTTCATTTAACAATATGCATTTAAGATTCATCTATGTAGTTGGTACGTCGAAAGCTCATTTCTTTTTATCACTGAATGATATTCTACTGCATGGATGTATCACAGTTTATCTATTCACCTAAAGAAGG